CAGCCGTCATTGTTGTTTGGCGGGTCCGGGCTGGGGATTCGAACCCACCACCTTAGGTGTACGTGGCTGGCGCCTTAGCCAGTTGAGCTATAGGCGCTGAGCCAACATAAGTAGTTCTAACCCTCAGGATATTCCCCTCTCCCCACCACCATCTGAGGGCTTGGGGTAGTGCTAGACCAAGGCTAGTCAGACCACAGTGATCATATCCAGTCCACAGCACCTTCCATTTTATTGTTTTATTTACAAACAGGGTGAAGTCAACTGGGAAAATCAGGGGTTGGAGTCAGTCTGGGCCGTCCAAAGTGGAGTGGTTCCTGGGTCAAGCTCCACCATGAAGGCCACCTCTTCTATCCTTTTTATGCCTCCTTAGTTACAGCCCCTTGATTCCTCAGGGCAGCCTCACCTGCTGCACCTGAGCCCTTTTATGAGGGCAGATGGATCCTGGGGGAACAGGGATGGTACGAGGGCTGGGGCCCCCTCAGTTTGTGTAAACCTGAGTTCCGATCACACGCATGATTTCCTTCTGTATCTTGGGGTCCTGAGTATTTATGTTGGCATCGCCCACCTGACCATCCTCATATCTGCCAAAGATAGGGCAAGTGTCAGCATCAGAGGGAGAACAATAACAGAATGAGGACTGGACTTCAAGGTGTGGCCATCCCATCCCAGAATTCTCACTACTCTTCAGAGTAGAAGGGGTTCAGCTTATCTAGTTTCCTCTAGACAGACCTTCATAATCTATACCCATTCCTATCCTCCAAGGGAAAACTCCCAGTGCCAGCTACTCAGGAAGCCAGGGACAAATCTTATAACAGAAATGGATTTTCCCAATGGTCACAAACCAACATTTCCCCACCCTCATTCCTCAAGTAATCCCTAGGGTCCCTCTTAGACATACACAAAGAAGAACCGTGTGCAGACATGGTCAGATACAGGGCACACCCAGATGTTCCCATGTTTCTGGAGGTCCTTGGATGTAATCACTGGGAAGAAGAAGGCCAGAAATCATAGATGAAATGTTTAAGGCACAGAGTCCAGGCAGGGAAGGGAAATAATGATGCTTCAAAATCATCCTTGGACAGGACATATGCCAAAGTTACAGCTAAAATAAAAATTGGGGACTCCCAAAAATAGAGTATGGGTTAGCTACCTACCTTCACAAAGTGCTATACAGTTTAGATTCCGGCTCTGCAGGAATCTTGACTGAATGGATCGGGTCTGGAAGAGAAGGAAGCAAAGGAGAGCAGAGCCAAGCAGACAGTTACAGTTTTTCCCAGAGAGACTGGTTAGCTGGTGATGTCGAGGGGCAGGGATCAGGGATATCCTGGGCTCCCAGCCACCTGCCAAAATTTTGCTTTCCCATAATCAGTGTGGAGGAGTTAACAGCTTCCATCTTTGCATTTTCTTGTTTTTGAGACAGTCTTACTTTGTGGCCTCCGGTAGAGTGCCGTGGCATCATAGCTCACAGCAACCTCAAACTCTTGGGCTCAAAGGATTCTCTTGCCTCAGCCTCCCAAGTAGCAGGGACTACAGGCACCTGCCACAACACCCAGCTATTTTTTTTTTTTAGAGATGGGGTCTGGCTCAGGCTGGTGTCGAACCTGGGTACTCAGGCAATCCCCCCGCCTTGGCCTCCTAGAGTGCTAGGATTATAAGCCTGATGAACCCAGTCCATATTTGCATTTTTATCTACACTCAGCCTCTGTTTTCATACTTATGACTGAGGCCCCATATGACCCTGGAAGTGTGTTCACCCGATTCCTTTAAGTGATCTTCAAATTATCACCCCTCCCACTGTTTTCCCACCCATCCTGCAAGCTAAAATAGTCCCAGGGAAGGGTTCTGCCTCATTAGAGCAGTGCTAACTAATACCTGAGGGATGGTATTCATCCTGTTATATCTCTGGACCAGCTCATCCTTGGAGGGCATCCTGTGCTGTCCTTTTCCCATTCCTGTCACAGAACAACAAACCCAGTTCATTCATCTATTCCTTAATCTAATTTTTTTTTTTTTTTTTGAGACGGAGCCTTAAGCTATCCCCCTGGGTAGAGTGCCATGGCATCACAGCTCACAGCAACCTCCAACTCCTGGGCTCAAGCGAGTCTCCTGCCTCCGCCTCCCAAGTAGCTGGGACCACAGGCGCCCGCCACAACACCTGGCCATTTTTTGGTTGCAGCAATCGTTGTTTGGCGGGCCCAGGCTGGGGATTCGAACCTGCCACCTTAGGTGTATGTGGCTGGTGCCTTAGCCACTTGAGCCACAGGCGCCGAGCCCCTTAATCTAATATTTACTCTAATTTTAAGTGCCTACCATGTGCCAGCACTGAGCTAGACACTTGGCAATATAATGGAGAATAAAACAAATAAGACATTTGCTCCCACAGAATTTAGTCTGTTGGAGATTACAGGCAAAAAACAAGTAATTATAACACAGCATGGTAAGGGTTGTGACAAGGAGAATATGGAGCACTGTGTGAGTCAGAGAAGGGGAACTAGCCTAGCCCAGGGGTTTGAAGGAGGCATCCTGGTGACAAGTAGGCTGAGAGCTGAAAGATTAGGAAGAGTTAGTAAAATGAAGAGGACAGAAATGTTCTTTCTAGGCAGAAGTAATAGAGTAAGAAGGCCTAAAAGAAAGTTGAAGTATCGTGCTTTAGTTTGTACAGTGAACAGTCAATGGCTGAGTGAGAAATGGTAAGCTCTGATGAGATAAACCAGGCCTTCTAGGCCTTGTTATGGCAACTGCAGTTTATCCTCAGAATGTAAGGGAACCACAGACGGGTTCTAAGATAAGGGGGTAAGACATTAAGTGAGCCAGAAATGAGAGGCCCAAGAGAGTGGGATATCAACACTTCAGTATCAAATGCCAGCTGTAGTAAAATACGTGGAGAGGAAGCAAGCAGAGCAATTCAGATCTGCTCTAGTCTCAGAGTTACATAAAAAAATCTGACCAGTCATTCGAGAAAAGGAGAACACACAGCAAAATAATGAATAATTTTCCACAGGTAATTACAATGGCAGCTACCCTGAAAAATCCTACTTCCTTCAGAAAGTCTTCTCAGACTTGAGACAGAAGTACCAATTCCATTTCCCATATTATCTAAATGTATTAATCCTCTACTATCCTCACCTCCTATTCAATAGTCCTGTTCATAAGATTTACAGATTCAACCTGGATTTTTCTTGTTTAGATATAAAATAGTGCTTGTGTATCCCTATTCCCAAACCAACTCTTTTTTTGGCTTGAGGATAGGACTTCAGACTCTGTACTTAACTTTTTCACAGGTCCCATCTTATCACAGTTAGGGATAAAATGTGTGTGAGCGAAAGGGAGAGAAAGAAAGAGAATGTGTGTATGAGACCAAGAAGGAGATGGATGAAGATGGAAAAGCTACTGCTGGAACTTTCTTTTTTTTTTTAGAGACACAGTCTCACTTTGTCGCCCTCAGTAGAGTGCCGTAGCATCACAGCTCACAGCAACCTCCAGTTCTTGGGTTGAGGCAAATCTCTTGTCTCAGCCTCCCGAGTAGCTGGGACTACAGGTGCCTGCTATGACGCCCGGCTATTTTTTTTGTTGTTGCAGTTTGGCCAGGGTTGGGTTCGCACCCACCACTCTCAGTATATGAGGCTGGCACTCTACTCACTGAGCCACAGGCACCACCCTTGCTGGGATTTTCTATAATTATTAATTCCACTCTGCCTCAATTCTTGGTTTTGTCATAGCCAAGCTATAGAGATGATAACAGTTGAACTGACAATCTTCGCTGCTCAGGCTGTTAACTGATCATGGACTTACACTGAAGTCTCATGACAGATTCAGGGCCAGAATTTCTTCCTCTTTTAGGAGAGATACTCATGACCCCCCTATTTCTACCTTCTCCATTAGCCTTTTTTATTATTATTATTTTTTCCTTTGGGACAGCGTCTCAAGCTGTCACCCTAGGTAGAGTGCTGTAGTGTCACAGCTCACAGCCTCCAACTGTTGGGCTTAGGTGATTCTCTTGCCTCAGCCTCCAGAGTAGCTGGGACTACAGGTGCCCACCACAATGCTCAGCTATTTTTTTGTTGCAGTTTGGCCAGGGCTAGGTTCGATCCGACCACTCTCACTATATGGGGCTGACGCCCTACTCACTGAGCCACAGGCACCACCCTCCATTAGCCTTTTTTTATTTTTTTCAGAGACAGACTCTTATTCTGTCCCCCTCAGTAGAGTGCTGGGGCATCACAGCTCATAGCAACCTCAAATTCTTGGGCTCAAGAGATCCTCTTGCTTCAGCCTCTCAAGTTGCTGGGACTATAGACGCCTGCTATGACACTTGGATAGTTTTTCTATTTTTAGTAGAAGATGGGGTCTTGCTCTTGCCCAGGCTAGTCTCAAAGTCCTTGGTTTACGAAATCCACAGAGCTCAGCCTCCCAAAGTGCTAGGGATTACAGGCGTCAGCCACTGAGCCTGGCTTCATTAGCCTTATCTAAGTTCAGCTTCCCATCCAAAAATCATGACTTTTTCAACTTGGGTATATGAGTGACAAGGTTCCAAGTGAAATTCCCACTCAAGTTCTACTCTAGAAGGAGCAGACGAGAGGATATGAATAATCAGATTTCTATCAGGTCTTAAAGATGATCTTTATGATATGATATGGCCCAAATCTTATTCTACCCCAATCCTATTGCATATTATCTATTTCCTGAGACCAGACCCTGAAACCATGGTGGCTATAATAATCCCTGAATGTGTTATGTCAAGTGTGCACTTACCAGGAATTCCTGAACAGAACTAACCAAAACATGGAGTCTACCATCTCTTTTCTCACTGTCCCATTTCAACCTGCACCCTCCAGCCAAGTCACTGGAGACTCCACCAGTTAAATGAACTCTTATTTATACCAACCCACCCCCTTAGAAGTCCACTGTCACTAGGCTAAAGGTATCCCGAGGAAGAAAAAACAGAAAACCAAAACAGAACAGGGTAGAAGAAAACATACAAGACAGTTGGCCAAATGCTAGAGTAACTACAGGAAGTGTTACATTTGCATGTGTGCCTCTCACCACCTTAAAGACTCTCACATATCTATGAGACCCTCTAGGACCTAGTCATTCAAGCAAACTTTACCTTGTCAGTGCAATATAGTGATAAAAACCCTGGCCTAGAAGTTAGAAGACCTGGGCCAGGGGTTTGAAAACTGCAGCCTTAGGGCCACATATGGCCTTCTGGATCTTTGAGTGTGGCCTTTTGACTGCATCCAAATTTTATAGAACAAATCCTTTTACTAAAAGGGGTGTAGGGGCTCGGCGCCTACAGCTCAACCGGCTAAGGTGCCAGCCACGTACACCTAAGGTGGCGGGTTCGAATCCCCAGCTCGGGCCCGCCAAACAACAATGACGGCTGCAACCAAAAAATAGCCGG